CCAATGATAATCGATTTCCCGAGAAAACATTTCCTGTAGATTAATCAACGCATTTCGCAATTTCAATTTTAATCTAAGTTTTGGTCACCTTCGAAAAATTCAAACGCCTAACGGAAATGTTCCATATGGGTTTTTTGTTTAATCAAATGTGCCCGTGCCAAATTAAAACATTCCTAAACGACTTCAAAAGCATTTTTATGAAAAAACATTTCGAATCAAACTAATTTGCCGCCATACATACTGAAAGCGCTCAAAATTGGAAAACCTAGTTACATCCCCGGCCGAAAAAAAATGCGGTTCAATGAATGATATTTTAGCTGCATTTTGTATATAAAGAAGGGCTCTCAGGCATTTGCCCGCGCTTTGTGAGTATGTATTGAATAAAGATGTAAAACGATGCGTTTGTGCTTCATTTCGGAGACTCTTTCATGTTTGACGTGATTTTCGTGTACCTTTACAAAAAAATGGTTTATTTTGATGCGCCTTCAGATCAGTGAAAGAGCGTTTGAAAAATAATTTGGGAGATTATTTTCCGAAGAAACTCCATTAAATAAAAAGACTACCAGTCCAAACAAACACATTTCTGCTTTTATATAGGGCGTCTTAATACCAGAAAATAAAATCTAAGCTAAATTTTAAATCGCCTATCGTTTATTATGGCGAAAATTTAACAATGTATTGTAGCTTTAGAATCAAGAAAAAATCATATACACCAATGCTTAGTGATCGAGATTAGAGTACTCAATATTCAATATATATTTTTTTTCATTATTATAATTATAAATTCTGGTTATTTGTACATTTTTAGCCTTTTGTGTAATACTATGGGTAAAACGGACTGTTTACAAATTATTATAATTCTATGGATTTACCCCAATGCCCAATGCTTTTGAAAATCTTAGAAATACCAATAACAAATTTTTTAATCAATAAAAAAATAGTTACTAATCAGCAAGTTTTTTCTTTTATTAAATAGTTTTTAATAAATTATTATAATATTTACATATAACATTATAAATAGGCTAAATTTAATTAAAGTTAGTCAAAGATAAATCGACTTGATGATTAAAAAATACAAAAAAATAATAAAAAGCTTCAGTGGGCCGTCCCACTCTCCCCTAATACAAAAAAAGAAATAGTCAGTTTCAAATTTAGCTATAAAAGTAATCAATTCGAAAGTCGCCTAATTAAAATAAACGTAAGATGCGTGTATAAAGCAACAAACAAAATAGTATAAATAAACCAAGTTACAACAAATAACAAACAATGCAAAATGACTGTGACTAATATGAACAAGTATACATAAAAGAACTATTAATAAAATAAAAACGAGAAATAGATCAAACTCAAACAAAATAGATGAAAAATTGTAAAATTATAGAGTTCAAAACATGAAAAGATTAAAATATCAATGACTTGCAATTTATCGATCTTCATAAAAGCTTCAAGCTTCAAGAAGGTAACTCCTTCAAGTTTGACTTAAAACTATTTGCTGATGCACACAGTTTTAATTTATTTTGTGGTATGTTAAATCAGTAACTACCCATATAAAAAGGAGCCTTCTTGTGAAACTCACGATCATGTTTATCTAATAGTATATTTTTAAAAGTAAAAGTAAGTAATTTTAATATAAAAACTGGAGCAACAGTTATAATTCTAGGTCGTCTTAAAAAATCCTATATATGATTATCTGTAGGGAATATAATAAAGCCACCTTACTATACCTCTCTGGATCCACCTCAAAAAACTATTATAACTAATTATGTTATGCACTTCACCATATTATACTTCAGTTCATGTCGAGTTCATCAACTGTTGTTTATTCTAAATAGAGTTAAAAAATTCAAATTTACGTATGGGGGAAATTTACAGATTTTGTTCGACCTGCAAACAACATGTTGATTATTTCATTGAATTTTAATTATACAATATTTATTACACATGAAGTATGTCTAAAATTTCTCTGCTAACCCAAAGCAAATTTAATGCAACGAAATATTTTTTATCTTATCATTATTTTAATTTTTTTTTTTGGAAATTCATATGAAAATTAAAATATTTATTTTTATTCTTAGCTCCCGTAGTATATATATTCCAAATTTATAGCTTTTTTTTTCAAAGAAGCCCGTATTTAGTTTGTTTGAATTCAGATAAAGTCCATAAATAGTGTGTGACAGAAAGATTGCTGCAGATACAGCTACAAGAAGAACGGAATTTCAACTGACACTGTTCATCGATGCCTAGCTCAAGCTGCCAGAGAACTGGGAAAGAGTTCTTTGGTCCGATGAAACCAGAGAGGTATTCACAATCTAACTACCAAAACACCAGATTATTTGTTGAAGGGTCAGTTATGTTTTGGGGAGGAACGTCTTTAACTACTCGTACTGACTTGGTGGTTATCAATATTGGAAGTTTAACAACAAACAGGTCCGTAAGAAAAATCTTGCAAGAAAATGTGGAACATTTGGGCCTTCCCTTAGTGAGAATTTTTTGTTTCAGGGAGATAATTAATTGCCCATATTGTGCAAAATGATCTTAACGCATTTTGTTCCAGTGGTGCGTTAATGCACCATTATTATTGCTTTTGTCACATCCAGGAAAAATTTTTGCACATCCATTTAGAAATTTTATTATTATCACTATTAAAGGACATAAAACCGTAGAAATCGCTTATTTATGTGTAAAGGAAATATCTTGTATATGATATGAAAAGTTAACAAAAGCGGCACATCAACTTGTATCACATTTTTAAGTAAATCCAAAATAGTAAAAAAAAATATTTTGGATTTATATTGCCTATAGCGTGTGGATTACAGTCAGAAAAGATACATTGGAAATAATATATTGATTATGCTTTATTTTTTGAAAATATTTACTGGTGCGTGAATGCACCACTGGTTTTCATCTGTGAAACATCCAACAATTAGCATGTTCTTTAGTATTAATTTATGCCTTGTGCAGTGAACGTTACAGTTCGCAAAATATGGCATTTCCGAGGTATTTGACTCAAAAGGAATTAGAGGCGGCTATGGAGGAGATCGTGATGGATGAGGACAATAACTATGAAAGTGGTAAGTATTTTTCGATTTACATATTCTTATGTATTATAGCATTCCATTGCTTGTAAATTTCTACTAAAAATAACGTGAAAAAATATTTACAGAACATATTGAACGCGGTCTATAGTCCACTCGACGTGGATACTTTGACTGAGGAAGAAGATATTAACGATAATATAAATCTACAAGAGTTTGGGGAACCAACTAATATAGTTGGAACTTTCGAGTTACATGCACCGAATGATGCAGCTGTCCTTCAACAATCCTGTAATTCATCAACTACTGAACCTGAATCGGACTCATCAGATGATGAAACCCTGGAATGCAAACGACAGGATTGATTCTACTGGCAAATGGAAGAAAGGTCAGATTGAGTACACTCACACACCTATATCAGATGAATTTAGATCATGTGAGGTGAGGAACAAAAAAATAGGCTTTCTGGAAAAACTACGCTTGAAATATTTATATTTTTTTTATGACGAAGTGATTGATTTGATTTTAAATCTTACATTGCTTTGCGACTTTCAAAAGCTGATAAAACAATTACTCAAAGAAATCTTGCACCTGCCATAGATGAAGTGCGTTATGATAATCAAGGTCACTTCATGATTGTGCATGCTAATAAAGCCCGAAGGAGTTGTAGAATCTGCCACAGCCACACAATTTACGTTTGTAATAACTGTAATGTGCACTTACATACTTAATGCTTTATAAAATATCACCAAAAATGAAACCGGGTGTTACCAGGGGTGCACTCACGCACCATAAAATATTATGCGTTTTTGTATCAAATCAGGTTCTATTTGGAAAATAAATCTATTTTTAGTTGTTTTCTGTCTAATTTGAACTTTTTTTTGTATATTTATGTGTATAAATTATATGTTACATCTTATGTGCCCCAAAACATTATTTAATTTTTTTTCCCAGTGGTTCGTTTACGCACCAGTATTTTTTTGACACATGTAATGTATTCCTAAGTACAATAAAATAAATAATTTCAAAGCAAAAAAGTGCTTTTTTTTATTATTTTTTATGCCTGGGATGATATAACTCTTGGAATTCAAACTATGGATTGGCTAAACCTTTTTCAAGAACTCCCTAACCTTTGAATGATAATTTGAACCAAACTCTTTTAACGAATAATCGCTAAAGTGCTGTTATTCAAAATAAAGGCGGAATTACCAGTTATCAATTATTTTTAAGTAAATGAAATTTTTTTCTTATCTTCCTTTGGAATTTTTTTAATACTCTTATTAAGTTACAATAAGAATGTACTTAATTAAGTAATGAAAATATTTGAGCGTGCATTATGAAATAAGAAAAAATCCATTACAACTGTCCCATTTCTTCGTTCGTACTACAACAAATTACAAATAATATTGGGATTTCGGATAGACGGTGCTAAAACTATCCTTACAAGATTAATTTCCACGAGAGACAGGCAGCCAGCGGCTTAAATTTTTTTGGCGGACATTAGAGTAACAAAAAACTTAAATTGTAGACTCCGTGCGATTTTTTGTTTGTTAACACAAACGAAATAGCCGTTGCGGCTTTACAAAAAGGATATTGTTGTTTGATTTTGTTGCAGAAAGCAGAGACGGTATGCAAACTACAATATAGGTACGCAATATTATTAGTAATTTTCTTTAAAGTTTATAAAATCGGTGGTATATACTGAAAAACAAACATATAAAATGCAACGAATTCCAGAGCGGTAGACAACCCACAATACAAATTGAACAAACCGCGACTGCGCGGTGCAGCTACAAACCGAGACGAGACAGCTGTTACGACGTAAGTCCATGCAATGCCGCCATTGTTACTGTTATCGATAAATGCTGTTGTTGATATTCTAAGAATTCAAGGCCCGAACGAGTTGGTGGGGAGATCTCCATACAAAACCTCAAACAATACGATTGCTAGTATCAGTCGAAAGCCATGGATAGTACGATTGGCGATGCGAAAGAAAGAAAATTAGATTGTGTAAAAATTGAAAGTAGTGCGGGTGCGGCCTCTGAAACTCCTGCAGCTTCTACGGGAACAAGCGGAACTAGTTCGACCAGCGTGAAGAACGCATCCAAAAAAGTTCGCATAAGTGACGTGGTTACCTTCATCACTTATGATAGGGAAGAACTGGAGCGGCAGCAGGGAGGTCCCCGCACGACTGCCCTCAGAACAGTTGTAGAGGAAACCCCAACGGAACTGCAAGAACATGAAATGATAGATAAAATGTTAGAGAAATTGACGTTGGACGAAGAAGAGGGCAAGTAATGCATCCCAAGTCTCGAAGAAAACCCAATTCACGTTATGGATTATATTGTGTGTAAAATTGTTTTACATTCCGGTATGGTGCCCAATAAAATTTAAATTTTAAGGGCTGGTTTCATTTGACGAATTTTCAATTTTATTTTAAAAAATCTTCGCCACAAATCCCAAAGTTACTTTTTATTGAATTGGTGTGAGATAATAGAATATTAAGCCAACAAATTCTTATTAATTGAATATTGAAAATATCGACACTGTAACGAAAATCAATCACGCTAACAACGCAAAAAAAAACTTTAAATTTTAGAGCATTGCTTTATATGCAAAGCATTTTTTCAAATTCTCCTTTTCATTTAGCAATTTGGAAAAAAATTTACTATCTATATGCTAAACTATTTCAAACTAGCATTGTTTGAGGCTTTCACTTATTTTTCACATTAAAAACATGCAATATTGGTATTCCTTTCTATGTACACCGTGTGCCAAATAAAACGAAGATAGATAGAAGATACGAAAAAAAGTTTCTTACAAAGGTTTTTTGGACTCTCCTGAATAATTAAAATATTATGATTTTGTTGATACAGAGTGTCCCAAAAATGTCCCGCAAGACATCAACTTGGTTATTTTAAAATGAACACCTATATATTTCGACATTTCACTTTTTTAAGAAATTCCTATTCAAATTTTGCATGATTTAGACAGAAATTGAGGTTATGTGTTTTTTTTTTCATATTTTGATTGCCCCATATAAAATTGTGTTGTGGCGCTACTGATAAAGGTATTGCAACGAAAACTTAACCGCAGACTAAAGAGATGATGCACTATTTAGTCAGGGTTTTCCAAATTGGTGATGCCGTTTTGACGAATTCAATTAACAAAATCTCAAGATTTTCAAATGGAACACCTTATATTTTTATTCAGATATCTATTCTAGGACAAAAAACAAGGTAGGTTATATTTAAATTTTACTTACTTTTTGAGATATTCGAGGTTTAAAATAAAACCCGTATAAATTCTTCTTAAATTTATATTAGGTCACTTGCTGGCAATATTAGGTATTTTTTAAATAGCAAAGAGATGATACTACTTCTTTTAAAGACATAATACTCCAGATATACAAATAAAACATATTGCTAACAGTACAGGGTGTCCATAAATTTTGAAAAAAATCGACTCTATACTACACACTTTGATAGATTTAATAAAACTTCAGAATTCATATTTAAAGAAACATTTAAATATTAAAATACCTAATAACAAAACTACATAATTAAAGTTGATAGGCTAACTAACTTCAAAATATAATAAGGGAAATTAATGTCTGTGCATAACGAATTTATTTAGTCGCTTTCTATACCACCCCAATGCAGTAAATAGAAAGGAACGGATAATAAAATCAGCGTGATGTGGCAAGGACATATAATTAGCAGGTTTTTACACCCATGCACAAATTACGATTCTTGATAATTAAATTGTGACTCCCGAATCATCTGCCATAATTTATATTCATATAACAAGCAGTCCTAATGAGGGCGACCTTTATAAAGGGAATTAATTTTCTGGGCATTGCTGAAATGTTAGAAATACCGGTCATTGCATGTGAATTGTTAGAAGCTAATTAATGCAATAGCGGTTTCCAGAAACATATTTTTATATTATTATTTATTGTAAAACAAACAAAAGCAGTTATGTTTTAAAAAGATTATGTATTTTTGATTGAATTGATTGTCAATAATTAAGGGGTCGATTTTTGGGTGTATTTCTTTACGCAGACATTGACGGCCGATAAGTGTCCGAAATTTGAACCTATCGAATTTAAATTTTAGGTACTCCCTAACGGAACCTATTGAAATTGGAGAGGCTGGGGGGTCGGGAAGTATTTTTAAAAAATTAAAAATCGCGTTTCAGGGGTCCGGGAAGAAAATCAAATCTCGAATACCGTTTATGTGATCGCAAAAATTTTTGAACGAGAAGATCCAAGAGATCAAATTCTATGAACATTTATTATTCATAATTTTCAAAACTCTACAGGGTGTGTAATTGATCACAACTCACCGCCGGTGTTTCAGTTGTCAGTTTGCTTTACATAACCCTATAGCCTAAAACTTTTATATTTAAGGTTTTTAAATATTGTATAGGGTGTTCTGGATACTCTGTGTCATATTAAAAAATGAGGTGGTGTTCCTAATTTGCAGTTATCGACTTCAGATTTAGTAGAGATATAAAAATCTTTTTTTTTTATTGTTTTTTTGGTTATTTTGGTGAACAAAAAAAAACATTTTCTAAAAAACTATTAGCCCGATCGGGAAAATTCTTAAACCAAGAACTGTGGAATACCCGGGGCTAAATTTTTTTTTTCGATTATGTACGGGGTACAAAGTAAATTTTTAGCCGTAAATCAAAATTCGTAAAAAATATGACTAATTGGTTTTAAACTATAGGCTACATCAAGAACTACATTTTCTGTATTTGCGGTTTTTATCTATCACATAGGCTGCTCGAGATATTTGAAAAAATCCTTTTCCCCATGTTACGGCGTACTGTACAGTTTCAGAAAAAAATAATTTTCCCGAAAACCGTTTACTCTACTGTAAAAATTCATAGACCAGAAAACGTGGGCAGCTTTTCAATTATGTACACAGGGTGTGTCGGTAATGAACAAAAACATTTTTTCGGGGGTGAATGAAAAAATATAAAACATGGGATAATTTGTTTTAAACAGATCGCAAACTGTGTCGAGAGAGAGTTTTAAGATTCGTCCATTATACAGGGTGCGCGAGATACTTGAAAAAATATCATTGGAAATCGCTATTATTTGTTTTTGTTTGCAGTGACTTTGAAGTTCGGCGAGACTTGAAAGATACTTTATACAGGGTGCATGCACAATAAAATTACATCGATTTTGCGAAAGTTCCATAGTGGTCCGCAGGAACACGATAGAAAAACAATACTTCCCTCTAGCACAAGAAACCGCGAAACGCCTTTTTAAAATAAAAAGCTGCTTCGCACTCAGCTATACGAACTTGCCCCGCCCAGCGACGATTTTTCGAAAGCAATCTTGTTACAGCGCGTACAGCGTATACGCGCTTGCCAACGAAACTCATATCTTGGCAACGGTTCGTCCTACGGGACCCCCATTGGTACACAAATAATCAGCATCGAAAAAAAAACTTTTTTTTTTGTCTGTTTGTCCGTTCTCCGTTCTCTGTAGGCGCTTCATAAAAACGCGAATAACTTCGGAACCGTTGCAGCCAGGATGCTGAAATTTTGCTCCCTTTTAAACTGGCCACGAAAATTGATTGAAAATTGGTATCTGTCTTTCTTTTGCGATTTTCGTCTGTTTTTCGTACATCGCTATGAAACACGATACGTGACCGAGATTTGCAGCTATCGATTTGAAAATTGAGTCAAATGTAGAGTTTAGTCCCCTAAGGGAACCTATTGAAATTGGGGCGGCTGAGAGATCGGGAAGTATTTTTAAAAATTTAAAAACCGGATTTGCAGGGTATCGAGAAAAAAATCATTGGTCAAAAACGGTATAGACTGTCGCAAAAATTCTTGAACCAGAAGACGCGCGAGATCATTTATTCTTGACGATTTTTTAAAAATTTACAAGGTGCGCCGGCAAATTGCAAAAAAACTGAAAATTGGATTCCCCATATATCATAACTAGAAGGCTGTGTTTCAGCTACCATTTTTTTTCATGAGACCATATAGTCCGTACGGACTGCTAAAACTTTCCTATTTTAGGTTTTCACATATTGTATAGGGTGTTCGGGAAATTCTGCACCACATTCAAATTTGTAACCATGGACTTCAAATTTAGCACAGAAGTGAAAGTCCACACCCACATCTAAACCGTAGATTTAATTTTGATTTTTTTTTCTTATTTCTTCTTCCAGAAAAAACAAAATTTCTTGAAAATTATTAACTTGATCGGCAAAATTATTATACCAGGAGACGCGCTAGATTCGGTACTATAACTTCTATTTCAAGCATTTTTTTGATTATGTACAGTTTTTCTCAATTATACACAAAAATCTAAAAGACTCTGAAAATCTTTCTTTTCGCTTTTAAATTATTAGCTGTCAATCAAAATTCGTGAAAAATATGGACAATTGGTTTAAACAGTGTTGTAGACCACATCGACTGCTACAACTTTTGTAGTTACGCCTTTCGTCCATCACATACACTGTTCGAAATATTTGAAAAAGTCCAAATTAAAATCACCATTTCACAGCCTCAATCTAAACGCGATGACGTCATTTACTATTAAGACGTACTGTATGGTTTCAGAAAACAAATATTTTTTCCAAAACCATTTGCTCTATTGGAAAAATTCATATACCAGGAGAAATAAGATATCCAGGACTATTACCTCCATTTCGAACATTGTTTGAATTATATGCAGAGTACGTATTTTATGGTCAAAAAATCTAAAAGTTCTTAAAAATTTCCGTTTTTGTGGGTAAATTATTGGCGATAAATTAAAACCCGTTAAAGATGCGATAATTTTATTTGAACAGTATCGTAAACTGTGCCGAGAGAGAGTTTGAGGTTTCTTCTACCATAAAGTGTTCGCGAAATATATCGAAAAATATCATTGAAAATCGCTATTATTTGTAAAAATTTTAATATTTAACAAAGTATGCTGTAACTTTGAAGTTCGACGAGATGTGAAGGACAAAATCAAACTACATCGATTTTGCGAAAGTTCCATAGTGACTGCTTAGCGCATCGTACTTAGCAGACGAGTTTTCGAAAGCAATCTTCTAGGTAGTTTTATAAGCCATTAATTTTTTTAAACACACGAAAATGATTTTTTTGCTCATATAATTCGTATAAATGCAGTTAACGTCGGGAAAAACGAATCATTAACGCACCCAATCAGTACGATTTTTCTTACGAACCTCCGCGATAAAATCGATGTCGTGATGTATTCAAATTTTATTCCGAAACAGTCTTTGATAAATTGAGAGACCTTCCCGAGATTCCTAT